CGGCACACAAAAGCAAAGTGGGTAACCACAATCCGGTCCCTCACTCGCTAATCAAAATGATGATTGGCAAACCACAACTCGGTTGCTCAACTCAAACTAAAGTGGAATTGAAAATCAAAACGTCGTGGAACGCGGAAGCCATTTCCGAGGGCTTTTCTCTCCATGTCGGCAAGGACATTCGGGTACAAAGCGAAAATACTCCAGTAGACATGGGTTTGAATTTTTCGTATAATGAGCTCCGGAGATTGTACCTCATTCTCGAAAATCTTCCTATTCCGAGCATTCCAAAGGAAGTACACCGTTGATGCGAGCCCCGCTTTTATGTTGTTACCATTTGGTTCGTACATTAATACTAATTAATTTTATATGCACATAATCGAATACTAATTTTATTAAATTATAGTAATAAAGTAATGTTAATGTGAGCCAGGCTGAATTTAATTTACACGCGCAGTAATCATGAATTCTTATTACCTTTGTCCACACATACATTAATGGCAGTATACACGTTACAATTGAATTTCTATAGTGTAATTTATGATACGCATTTTATCTTTTAATAACGGGTGGGAAAACTGGCGGACCAATCCACAAAATTGAGATATTTTAAAGAGTAATGTTATATGTACGTAATATTGTATACAGGAGTGTACATAACACTCATATTGAGTGGGATCTACCCAAAATTAAAAATTAAATGGACACCACTCTATATGAATGTTATATACAACTCTATGTACATTTATTATGTACACATAGCGTTACTCTTAATCTATACTTATATTAAAAGTCATACTATTTACCAAAAATAGTAGGAAAAAAAGTCAACTCACATTTAATCCATACTTTATTTAGAAATTTTTTACTATATGCATTAATTGCTTGCATATATACATTTCCTATTCAAATATGATCAAAAAGATTTTTTCCTTAAATAATTTTATTAACTTCTGCAATGATTTTACTGATATATATTATAATACATATTTGTCGATAGTATTTTTTAATTTTTATTTGAGTATATGAAAAACAAATATTTTTTTTAAAATAATATTTTATTTATCATTTGAGAGATAATGATCACATCATTAAATGATATTACTGATGGCTAGATAATAGATTAAAATACATTAATTATTCTTTAAAATTTTGGCATGTTATTTATTTGTATCTATACTTATTATATAAGGTATCCTATTTACCAAATTTAGTAGATTGAAAAGTCAACGT